TGCAAACATGGTTCCAAGCATCCTATACTCATCCTATTACAGTGCATAGCCAGGACCATAGTGACCAGTGATGGTGAAGACCCTCTTCCGGGCATTATTAACATCTTGGTGAGGGCATGGCTAGGAGTGATGGTCAGGAAATAGCAAACAGTTTATACGTGAATTCAACTTCTCAGCTGCCAGGATTTTCCCTTCAATATTGAGGCTCGTCAACTTGATTGTCTGTCGGATGACAGTGAGTTCAGCTGTCAGTCAACTCACTGAGCAGACTAGGGACTCCCTTTCTGGGTGATGTAGCCACATTCTCAAGTCCCACCTGAACACCAGCTCCTCCACCCTGGCCAAACTCCTACTCATTTCTCTCCCATCACAGGTCCTAAATCCACCCCAGCTTTTCCTCCACTCCTTCAACACACACACACACACACACACACACACACACACACACACACACACACACACACACAGAGAGAGAGAGAGAGAGAGAGAGAGAGAGAGAGAGAGAGAGAGAGAGAGAGAGAGAGAGAAAGAGAGAGAGAAATATCCAGATACATAACCCAATTCAGGATTCTACTTTGAAGGTCAATTTCTGGGCCACTCTCCTGGTATCAATTATTACCATGAAATTTCTAAGAAAGAAAGAAAGCAAAAAAAAAAAAAAAAACCCTAACACAGTGAAAAGCAGTAATTGAGGTGGATTGAGTAAAGGTGCCGTTTGCAAAAGGGTGGCTTGTGTGTCGGGGGAAGAATAGTATGGTGCGCATCTGCTAACTCCTGGTGTTATCAGAGTCAGGGATGGACCAGGTTCCATTATCCAGAGAGAAGAGGTCAGGATAGGGGTTGTAGTCATTGGTGGAGGATTCTCAAAAGACGGTGACCCAGCAGCGAGGCAGCTGAGAGTAAAACCACTTCTCACTCACTTCTCTGGTTCCTGTCCCCAGTGACCCAGCTAGAGCTCTGAGGAGGAGGAAGCCTATTTAATGAGGGTTCCCATACAGTGGAACTGGGGAGCAGGGCAGGGTTGGAGAGGGTAGAGATGAGTCTAGAAGAATAAACCGAAGACACTAGCTATGTTCTGTTATACATTTTTTTTTTTTAATCTAGGCAGCTCATCATGTTGAATTGCTGGTTTGCCCTTTGTTTGGTGAAAACAGAACAATTAAATATTCAGAACTTTAGCCAAAGAGTTTATCTGAAGGAAATGTTCAACTTTTGAACAAATTCGCATTTCTAGCAGTTATGCTAATTTGTACTTAATGATCATATTATTTCAAATATACTCATTATTTAGCGGGGACTAATGAACCACATTCCCCTTTCCCTCCCCAGCTTTGGCTGTGTCCATTTTCACACACTGAGTGTTAATGGAAGCACACGTAATAGATTAGCATTATTAACTGCGTGAACGAGACCATCAGAAGGCTCTTGGGTAGAAAGCATAAAGAAGTTGAAAGGGTTGTAAAAGTGATGAATATTTAAAATAACTTTGTTACGATGTTATTTATGCCATACTTAATTTTTAAGGAGTGTGTGTTTGGAAGGTAATAAAGTTAAACTAGGTCCTATTTTGTGTTTTAGCTGTTGAAACTTCTGAGGGTTATCATCATGTCATATATGGCTCAACCCCATAAGTGGGCGCCACAATCCTTCATTTCAGAATGACATCATCGCTTCTCCAGGGGCATCTGGGACAGAGGTCAGCATGCAGCTATGTCCCTGAGTCCCATAATCTTTACAGTGGTACCTACCTCCTGTGGCTGCGGGGAAGGATGCATGGATTGAGAGTTAACAAGTTTGCACGTACCAGGCGTATGGTAGATGCTCAGTTAACTTGACTTCCCTTGTATTATTGCTCAATTTTTGCACTTTATCCTGTGATCTCTGCCCAGCAGTACAGGGTTCAGAGTAGATCCCTCCATCCACTGATCCTAGACGAGAAAGCTCTCTGATCCAGTTTGTTCTGCTAACGGGAACCTTTTCTTTGTTTGTGAGTTCTGTTCTCATGGGTTCATGTTCTCATGGATGTCAGTTTCTGTTGCTGGCATTCTCATCATAAGCAACCAGGGCTGTTGCACGAGCTGACACAGGAGAATCACAGTAGAAGTATGGTCTGTACAGGAAGTTGATGAGCGCAGACACTAAACCCTAAGGCACGTAAAAGGATGGCAGGTCTACGCATTTGCTCAGTAGATGTGATAACCACACAGCAAAGGGTTGTGTACGACACCCAGACTTGGAAATGCTTGAGTAGGTCAACCTGAGACTTTTGCTTACATCAAAGCCCTTGCTTCACTTTCAGTACAGCACAGCTCTGCCTCCGTGGGAACAGAGGTGTGTGCCTGCTCCCATGGCAGAAGCAAAGGAGTGCGTGAGCAAGTCCGGCATCTGACAGGCTCAGATGTGAGGGGAAGTGCTTTGACTGTCAGGCCAGAGTCTTGTTTATAGGAGGATTAGCTCCGAACACTTCAATACATCTCTTTGGACTTTAGTGTGAGGCATTAAGATATCTCTCAAGAGACAGGTGTCTTCACATAAGGCAAAACAAAACAGTGGTCAAGTTGTGCATAGATGTTTCCTGAGCATCCAGTATGTGCAGTAGTGTCCAGTGGAATGTCTGAACTGGAAGTCTAGCAGCAGTTTTAAGAGTGATGGGCAGCAGAGCATCCAAGGCAGGCTGGACAGGAATAGACGAGGATAGAGAGACGAGGCTGAACATTTGTGGGTGGATGCTTCACACACACTGTGAAGGGAGCAGACATATGTTTTCTGGGGCTTTGTAACTAATTATCCCAAACCCGACAGCTTAAATAGATGTTTAGAGATATGCGGTCCTGTGGCTCAGGCACCACAGGACAGGTCTGCCAGGGGCATTGCCTCAAGGTCCCTGGAGGTTGCTATCAAGTGATCAATAAGACTTACAGCCTTCACTAGGCTCAGCCAGGAGGGATCACTTCCAAGCCCATGCACATGACACTGTGGGGTGCCATGGGACCTCTGCAGAGGCTCCTGAGAGCTCCATGTCACAAGGCAGGCAGCAATGCACAGATGTAAAGAAAGATACCATGTACATCTGTTGTACAGCAGCTTCCTCTAAGACCAAACCATTTCATCTCCTAAGGAAGCTCCTTACGGCAGATCGTAAACAACTCAAAACAGCTACAGGAAGTCCCTAAAACTGACCCGGTTCACTAGGGCTCTCCTTCCCAGAGTGAGCAATAAAGATGGCTGAGGGTCATTTTCAGACAAGCCAAGCTGTGGAGAAGACCTGAGACCAGAGCAGCTGCCTGGAAGACACAGAAACCAGCCAGTCTGCCTAGAGAGTGTTTTATCAACTGAGCCACCTGGAAATAACACCCCCCAACCTACTGAGCTATTTGCAGGCTGTCAGTGTGCACCAGCTTTGGTGTGCCATCTCTCATGCCGGAGTAGGATTTGGGGATGCCGCTGTCCCTGAGTTGTTTCTGCTCTTATAAGTAACCCCTCACCCTCACCCACATTCCTGTAAGTAACTCCAATAAAACCCATTGGCTCACCAAGCCGGACTTTGGTGGTAGCTATACTTTGGTCTGCCATGGGCTTCCTGTCTGTGGTGAGTAGATATGTATATTGCATCTCCAGGAAAAGTCTTCTCCCATAATGAGACGACCGAGTCCTGTTCAGCCACTGCAAAGAATGGAATCATACATTTTCTAGAAAGGGCCTGGGTCAGGAGACCATCATGTTAAGGGGGAAAAGCCAGGCTCAGAGAGGCAAAATGTATGCTTTCTCTTAGACATGTAATTTAGGTTTGAAAAAAAAAAGACATGAAAGTATAAGACTACTATTTGAGGAAATGAAGAGGACCATCATAAGGGAGGGCTGAGCGTGACTATGATGAAATTATACTATTTATTGCATAAAATGTCATCATGAAAACTGTAACTTTCATAATTAATATACACTAATGAATAAGTAGGGACAAAGGGAGAATACTCAAGAGGGCATAGTGGTTTCTTTATAGACTAATTTAGGAAGAGGCATCCCCTCTGTGGTTGTTTGAATGTAATTGGTCCCTCTAACCTCATAGGGAGTGGCACTATTAGGAGGTATAGCTATGTTGAAGGGGGTATGGCCTTGTTGGAGGAAGTGTGTCACTGTGGGGGCAGGCTTTGAGGTTTCCTATGCTCAGGATACCACCCAGTGTCTCAGTCGACCTCCTGTTGCCTGAAAGATGTAGGGCTCTCAGCTATTCCCTTCAGCACCATGTCTGCCTGCTTGCTGCCATGCTCCCTGCCATGATGATAATGGACTGAACTTCTGAAACTGTAAGTGAGCCCCCTCAATTAAATGTTTTCCTTATAAGAGTTGTTGTGATCATGGTGTCTCTTCACAGCAATAGAAACCTAACTAAGACACCATCCTTTCTCCCACCGTGACCACTAGAAGCCAGAAACCAAGTCCATTACTCTTTCAAGGCAGGGGTGTGAGCTCTGCCTCCTGGGGGCAGTCTCTCCCCCTATCTTTTGTGTGTGTGTGTGTGTGTGTGTGTGTGTAGCAGAGCTAGGCCTAAGGGTAGCCAGCTATGGTCAAATTACATATTGACTAATAATGTAAGGGACAACACCCTGATCACATATCAACGGTGGTCTGCAGGGGTCATGTGGCCTCAGTGAGGAGGGAGTTGAGAAGACAGAGAAGACACATGAATTACCAAGCTGTGAATATAAGGAAGTTTGATTTTTATTCAGAAATTCTATTCTACTTTTCAATTCTTAAAACATCAGCATGTATGAATTTTCCATCAAAATTCTCCATCTCTTCAGTTGAAAGTCCTTAACCCTTTAAGTTATCAGTACTTAATAAGGGCTAAAAAAAAATCTGCTTAAGTAGTAAATGGGTACTGTTTAGAGATATATAGATAGATAGATGATAGATAGATAGATAGATAGATAGATAGATAGATAGATAGATAGACAGATAGAATGAATATGAATGAAACCCTCTCTTTTCGTGTGTCCCAGGCATGCACATCTTGAAACAAGGGCACGTGACTGCTTCTGCCTTTGGAGGCATCATCACACCAAAGCTGGGGTAAGGGAACTTGTGATATTCCACATCTGTTGGCTAATACTGCCTATTCTGCTGCAGTTATTAGAGTTTCAACCAGAAGAAAGAGGAACGCCACTTTCAAAACTCAAGCCCTCATCCATTTCCTCTGCCCTTGCATTATTTCTACCATTGGGCACAGCAGAGACTTGGCCACAGAGAACTTTGCTGTGTGCTCCCTCTTCATTTTGATCCAATCGTAATCTGCATAGGAAGTTGCTGGAGCTCACAGTAAGAATACCAACAAGGCAGCCCGATGTGGGATGTCCTGTATGTTGTGAATAAATAAAACGCTGATTGGCCAGTAGCCAGGCAGGAAGTATGGTATAGGTGGGACAAACAGAGAGGAGAGGCTGGGAGGTGGAATTCTGGAGGATACGCCAGCCTGCCATCCAGGAAGTATCATGTAAAGGCAGCAGGTAAGGCCACGGAACACGTGGCGACATATAGATTAACAGAAATGGGCTGAGTATAAGAGTAAGAGCTAGACAATGGTAGGCCTGAACTAATGGCTGAACAGTTTAAATATTATAAGCATTGTATGTTTATTTTATAAGTGGGCTACGGAACTGCCAGGGCTTGGCGGGGACCGGAGAGAAAAACTCTAGCTACAGCAGCCAGCCTCCTTCTTTGTGTTTATTGTCTCCTCCCACACCCGTTGCGTAACGCAGTCATTATTGCCTATTCTCAGCCACTGGTGCAGTACCCACCAAACATGAAGGGTGGTGGTCAGCAAATGTGGACACCTAGAAACATAGCAGAAATGTATGACTGAACTCTTCCTGAAGAAAACAATCAATAAAAATGTATCATTCCAGGTCCTAGGATCTTGCATCTGGCTCAATTTGTTGATATGCACTCCCAACTTAGAGCTGGCTGTGTGATATCCGTGTTGTAAGCAGCCTTGTCTCTCTGTTCCCCAGCTCCAGAGCCCACATGGCCTCCAGACCATCCTATCAGTCATGCTACCCTGACTAGAATTCTGGACCGTACTAACAAGACAAACATCGGGAGATCGACTCATGAGGAGAAGAGGACAAACTAGCTTAAACTGTCTAGAAAACACCTCATACTTGTAGATAACCTCATACTTGTATGCTCCCATACTTGTAGATAAATCAACTAACTCAATTGCCAGCCAAGTCTTTGAACAGTTTTACAGAATATTGCAGCAAGAATAGCATTGTGAAGCTTCAGATCTGGTCAATAGACAATCGATTATCACCTGCCAAGGCCTTCTGTGTGCCAGGCCCTGTGCCAAGAGGTGGTACTATAAGAGGAATGTGGGCCTGAGCTCGGATCATCTCTGCCTTGTCCCCTCCGGTTTCGGACAGTTATATCATTTACAGAGATAGCATTTACTTCATTCAAATCCTCCCCCTAGATGACCCACTGTTGTTGATCTGTCCTCAGGAGTTCTGAAGACAAGATTAGTCCCTTTTTGAGTTACCAGTCTTTCAGATTTGAAGGCAGTTACTACGTTGACTGAGAACCTCCTATTCTTCAGAGGCTTCTGGCTCATAGAAAATCCAGGTTGCTTTCCCTCAAGCATTTGGAAATGTTCCCTTTAACACTTGGGCTGCTCAACAGCATGCGGCCTACCTTGGGCATGTCTGGACACCCCAGATGATGTCAAAAAGGCTGCTTTATCTGGAAACTGAATCTGGGATTGCTAATGAATTCTGTAGGCATGTGATCATAGAACAGAAACATGTTGGCTTTTTCTGAACTGCATCCGTTCCTCTACAGCCTGCCATCTATTGGCCAGATAATATTTTAAACAGCAGAACCCTGTGGCTAGAGTCCATGTTTTCCAGATCTTACTGTCACTCCTCTGGACATTCTTTATTGTGGAATATTCCTTTATACTGTGTGAATACATATCACTGTGATTGGAATAATGAAGAAGCTGACTGGCATATAGCTGGGCAGGATAAGGTTAGGTGGGAGAACCAGACTAAGAGGAGGCTGGGAAGAAGGAGGGAGAAGTCTGAGGGTCTCAAGGAGACTCAGGAGAAGCAGGAGATGAACATTCCATGCTGAAAGAAGGTACCACCATGTGGCAGAGGGTGGATAAGAAATATGGGTTAATTTAAGATGTAAGAGCTAGTTAGCAACAAGTCTAAGCTATCAGCTGAGCATTTATAATTAATAAGTCTCCTTGTGATTATTTGGGAACTGACTAGTGGGACAGAAAAGTCCACCTACACTTTGTGTTGCATGATTTAGACATCTTGAAAATAATAAGATGCTTCTCCTACTCAAATAACTATGAAATCATCGTCTGTGATAGAACCTTTGGCTTCAGGGAAAAGCACACTACCTAATCACATGATCATGAAATGCAGCTCTTCAAAAGAATACAGGCACTTTCATAATGTGCAAGCCTCTGAAGTCAGAAAGAAAAGCAAGGGAGACATAATGCTGAATAGTGAAAATAAAGAGGACGAAAAAAAACTTTGATATTGACGCCTGCACTCTTAAAATCAAACAGCTTCACTCTGACTGTTGAAAATGTTTTCAAGATACAGAGACAAGAGCCAAGGAGAAGCCAGGCTGACCTGGAACATGGTCAACATAGAGTGACTGCTATCAGCATTCTGATATATCCTCTGGGTATGATTTGAAACACTTTCCTGGGATTTTGGAGCATTCCATCTTACAGGGAAGCTCCTTAAGCAGGAAGGTAAACAACTCAAAATAACTATGGGAAGTCCCTGAAACTGACCAGATTCACTAGGCCCCTCCCAGCCAGAGTCAATTATAAAAGCTAAGAGTCCACCTCAGAAGTGAGACTAGCCAAGCTCCAAAGAAGACTGAGTTCAGACCAGCTGCCCAGAAAAAGCAGAAACCATCTGAGCTGCTGGGAGAGGTTTAGACCAGAGTCTCTTGTAAAGGACACTCTCCAACCTGTTGAGCTGCCTGCAGGCTGTGCAGTGTGCTCCAGGTCCCCAGCTTTATGAGTTGTCACCCCTGTGGGGTAGGTGTTGGTGGTGCAGTTGTCTTTGAGTCATTTCTGCTCCTGTAAGTGACCCCTCACCCACACTCCTGTAAGTAACCTCAATAAAACTCATCGGTTCACCAAGTTAGACTTTTGTGGTATCAGTACTTTGGTCTGTTGTGGGCTCCCTGTCTGGGGTAAGTAGACATGTGTGTTGTGTCTCCCCAGAAAGAGTTTTGTCACACAACATAATGGATGCCCAAACAGGGGCATGATAGAACCAAAGATGAGTTGGGGAGGAGTGAGCGCGTGGTCCTGGCTATGGACAGCAAAGTGTGGAACTGAGACTGAGGAGCCGGAGAGGGGAGCATCCATGGAGGAAATACTGATGGAGTTGTTCTTTCTTGTATGGGGTGTGTTAGTGTGCCTTTGTGCTATGACAGTAGTCACACAGTTCTTGCTGTGAGTAACGAGACATGCAGCTAAGGCTGAGCCATCAAGACTAGGAGTGTCTGTGGGAGGAATCCCAAGATGACAGTCTTCATCCTTGTGGTGTAGGGTGGCGCCCTTTCTTGATGAGTAGGGTCCACCACACTAATATAGAGATGCCCTGAAAACAGTTAAGAGAGTTGGAGGAAATTTCACAGTATTGGAGATTAGTGCCCAAGGGTTGAGACTGTCAGCAAGCAGCAACAGAGGTTGTCTGGCCTTTGTTGTGTTTAGTTAGAAATGCATCTGAGGCAAAGATGGTAGACAAGAGGGTTTCGTTTGTGCAAAGCAGAAACTTGTTTATGTAAAGGAGTAATTGGAACAAGAAAGGGAGATGTAATTAGCATCCTCTGTGTGAGCCTGGGGTTTGCAAGTAAACTAGGAAAATGAGAGGTTGAGATGGAGGTGTTGGCTTCTTAAGGCTTAGGGGCCAGAAGGAAAAGAGAGCGCAAGTAAGATCCGTGCTCAGAAACCCTTCCTGTGATCTGACAGCTTGGAACCCATGGGAAGGTTCAGAAAGTAAGAAGGAGAACATGGCAAAAGCAGTAGGTGATACCTTGAGGGGCTGACCTTTAATAAAAAAGAAAAGAAAAAAATCTGTGATCCAACATAAAGATGGCGGCCTTAACACCGGTCTGGGACCAGAAACTAGGGTGGTCAGAAAATCATTAGCACTTAAATTTATGAAGTTGGGGAGACTTTTAAGCAAGCAGTGAAAGATCCTATTACAGCCTGGCTCGTGAACATGGGAATAGATGGGATCAACCTGACTGCTGTGGGGGCGGAAAAACTGAGTCATGTAGCTACTTTAAGGCAAAGTAGCCTGAGACAGTACAGGGGAAGTCAGGCCCTGATGGACTGGCTTATCAGAGCCATTAGGAACACTTGGTCATCTTCCTCTGAGGTTCCTATGAATACAAAGGATCTGGAGGACCATAGAGGAGGGGCTGGTGCTACTAAGGGGAGCAGAAACAGGAGAAGTTGTGTTAGAACCTTCGCTCACTGGGCCAGATAGAAGTGTGTTCATAGAGGAGTTAAGGAGAAGGTTGATCCAGCAGGGACTTCAAGGCTGGTATGGACTTTAAACAGCTTTGCTGAGCCCTTCAGTGGGGCAAGATTTTTCTAAGTAGGAAAGTCTTTGGCAGATCTAAATGGCTTAGACCATGTAGAGAGTGTTTATATAGTGAAGAGAGCCATGTAGAGGTTGAGGAAATGGTAAAGCAGAGTAAATGTTCTGTCTGGGTTACTCAAGACAAAGGTGGCAAGATTTGTGTCAAGTCAGTGTTCCTAAGGAGAGCCAAATTGTGTTCTAAGCAGCTTCCTGAAGGCTGGACAGTCTTGTCCCACAACCCGGTCATTGCAGAGACACACAGAGGTGAGGTGAACCCGGACCTGCAATTCAATTCTAGTAGGTATGTTTCACTGGTTAGATGATTAGATGACTAACATGATGTGAACAATGTTCCATATTCCATTGTAATGAGCTACCTCACTTCGAGAATATTTCTTAATGACCACAGAATTCTTTGGAGTACCACTTAAGAGGTGGAGATAGGAAAAATAGGAGTCCAAGGTCATCCACAACTAGAGAGTGAGTTCGTGGCCAGCCTGGGCTACATAAGACCCTGTTCCAAATATTTAAAACATGACAGTTGAGATGATTCAGAAGGTAAAGATTCCTGCTGCCAAGCTTGAGGACCCAGGTTCAGCTCTTGCAATTTGTCCTCTGACCTTTACAAGGGTGCACACAGTAGCACATATCCTTGCCTATAGGCACACAAAATAAAATAAATAAAAATGTTGTTCCCTCCTTCCCTCCCTCCCTCCCTCTCTCCTTCCTTCCTTCCTTCCTTCCTTCCTTCCTCCCTTTCTCCCTCCCTGCCTGCTTTTCTTTTCCTTCCTTTCTATCTCTGCCCCTCTCTGTCTTTCTCTCTCCCTTTCTCCCTCCCTCACTCTCTCTCTCTTCTTTCTTTTCAAGTCTGGGTGCTGGAGAGATGGCTCTGTATTTCAGAATAATTGCTGCTCTTCCAGAGAATCTTAGCACACATGATGGACAACTTATAACTGCCTATAACTCCAGATCCAGGGCATCCAACACCCTCTTCTGGCCTCCATTGGTACCTGCAGACAGGTATGCACATCCACACATAGACCCACCTACCCCTGGTGCGTACACACACATGCACACACACACACACACACACACACACACACACACAGCCTTTCTGATGAAAGGCATTTAGGTATGGCACAATTTATGCCGCATTATTTTTCCATACTGCAGACTACAAACACACACACTCATATTTCCACCCCTTGTCTGCTTGAGACAAACTAGGGGAAGTATAGACTTGGATGAAAAGTGACCACGTTTCAAAATTTCCCAGTTGTCACTGGAATGCTACAGCGTTTCTGCTCTTGCCAGCCCAGCGGGGGAGTGCTTGTTGTCACATTCTCACAAGAAAGGGTGCTGCAGTTTAAACCATTCAGAATGGAAGGGTTTTGATTGGCATTTCTTTCTTTTCTGGAGTGGGAGATTTGAGATAGGGTGTCTCTAGAGCTCTGACCCACCGTGAACTCACCATGTAGACCAGGCTTGCTTCCAAATTGTGGCAATCCTACATACTCACAGTACCTCTCCCACCACATGGGGTGTTTAATTTGCGTTTCCTGGAGAACTGAGAATGGCGGAAATCTTTGCATGAGCTTATTGACCATTTATGTATCTTCTTGTGTAAATATGCTTTTTCCAACATTATCATATTTTAAATTATGTGTATGCCTGAGTTTGTATAAGAGTTTGTGCACATGCATGCAAGGGCCTATAGAGGTCAGAGGGCATCAGATACCCTGAGGCTGGTGTGACAGGTGGGTGAGCTGCTTGGCATGGATGCTGTGAGCCAAACTCAAATCCTCTGCAAGAACAGCAAAGGCTCTGAACCGCAGGGTTACCTCTGCAGCCCCATACACGTGCTTTTGATGTCTCCTTCAGCACACGTCTTTTGTAGTAATTTGCAAAATGGAATTATGGAGAATATCAGGAGTATTATTCCCTTTCTGTCACTTATTTATATCACAGATTTTGTTTTAGAAGTTCGATTTTTAAATTTGTCTCGAGTAACCTCCTACTGCCAGATATAAGTTAAAATTCTGGCATAGGCAAAGACATCTGATATCTGAATGTCTTGACTTACAATGAGGTGTATTTTGACATTTCACAAAGTGTTTCATATAAAAGATTTTTTTTCATAATTAAACATGAATAGTAGAAACGCTTTCTTTTAAGGACACCTTCTCTATTTCTTGGTAAAGGGCTTAGTGGATGATCATTGATAATTTAAAGATTGACTTAGGTTTTCTTCACCGGACACACAAAATTATATTTTGCAAATGTGCCATTTTTAAATCAGGCAATGAAATACTGCTCCCATTATTTTCCATCACTTAATTTGGTAAAATTTTGGGCACTGGTTGAATGCAGATAGTGCCTACATGGAGCAAACCAAGAGAAGTAGTAATGGCTGCTGCTCTGGCCACGTAGTGGTCTATAATTAGCTCCATGGTGGAGAGCTAGAGTTTCAGAAGTCAGCTTCTAAGGTATAACATGGCGATAGTGCTCTCCAGCAAGGGAGGGACATTGAAGACAGAAACGTAGCATTGGTAAAAATTCCTAGTCTGTCTTTCCTTCCTTCCTTCCCTCCGTCCCTCCCTTCGTCCCTCCGTCCCTCCCTCCCTCCCTCCCTCCCTCCCTCCCTCCCTCCCTCCCTCCCTTCCTCCTTTCTTCAGTTAAAAACATCTCTTAAGTTGCACAATGAAGGAATAATCACTTTGGATTGGCAAAGAAATGTTGGACAGCAAGTGAGGCTTTATACATCCAGGCAGAGGGGAACGGGGAGATCTAATTACCAAAAGCCCAGCCTTATTCAACGCCCTGCCGCAGAGGTGCTGAGATGGATGCCGCAGTGGTCCAGGAGGGCAGAAACACTCCAGTGACAGGCTCAGGAGCAGAAGCGCCAGGTGAGCTGCTATGGAAACCATCTTTAAATTATGCGCCTGCCATTTATCAATTGTTTGGCCAGAGACAAATTCCCCCCAAATTTCTCTGAAAAGATTGATATTTAAGGGAGGATGATGATTTTTCAGAGCTTGGAGGAAAAAAAAGGGTGAGAGTGAAGTTTGATGAATTGTAGGCTGGCGCATCGACCACTCTCTTTAAGTGATAGATTCTCCAGTCACTTTGTCACACATGCCAGCCAGAGCAGATAAAGTTATTTCAACACAACAATTTCTGATGGATTTTTCTCAGCACACCCCCATTCCACTGGGTCAAACGACAAATTGCATGCTGTGCGATATTCTCTTCCAGCAGCTTGCTAATGGGCTAATTCAAGACAGAAATCGCTTCCAAGAATAAAAACATCATTTGTGTTAGTTTAGATATTATTTTAAACATATTTATTTCAGTTTTTACTGTGTATATATTTATGTGTCTATGTGTGGGTAGAAGTATGTGAGTGTAAGTGCCAGAGGTGGCCAGAAGGGGGCGTTGGATCCCCTGGAGCTGGAGTTACGAGGTATTGTGAATTAATAGGTGCCTTTCATTTTCAGAAGGGGAAAGCAAAGACATTTGTAGCTGCCCTTCAATTCCTCTTCCTCTCCCAAATCTGTCCAGACGTGAATGCTGTTTACACTGCTCTCTTTTCCTCAAGACAGTGGATACAGTGGTTGTTACGTAAGTTTCCTGTTTTGTTTATTGAACTTTATACTTTACAGAAATAAAAGAAAATTTATGTTTCTGTCTTGTTATTTTCTCCCTCAAATTACAATGTCATTAATACCCATAATTTGAGTGACTTTCGAAATAAGAGAGAAAAAAAATGTTTCCTTTATTTTGTTTTTTCTGACGAGTATGTGCTCAGAACATGAAATTATATCCCATTGACATCCGCTGAGTTGGAAGAGCTCTGAATTCCTGTATTTGCTGACCTTAAGTGGTATTATTTTGGGATTTGAAAGTCTGCCAAAGTATAACTCCAGGCAAGGTAGACACTTAGGTGTATTTATGATTCTCTTTAAATGTCTCTGTACATCTATCACATGTATAATAGTCATATCCAGGCACAGTACTGCTTGTAAAAGCAGGGTTTCTGCCAATGGCTTCGTGGGATATGCTATGGCCTGCACTGCAACCACACATGCTACAGTGTGAACAGTTTCCATGGAGCTACACCAGAGGCCCTGGGAAGCATCTGAGTGTCAGAGCACCCCCTGCAGAGTAGTAAGCCTGCTGGCTCCTGGGGTTAACCCTCAAGCTGTGCACCCATCTCAGTTCAGAAGTTGGGAGAATGACTGAAATGTACTAGATCTTGTGAAAATTTTCACCTCCCAAATGCCCATGTGTATATGTAGTATCAATGCGCGTGTGTTTAAGCCCACATGTGTGCATGTACACATGTGTGTGCAAGCACACATGAACGACAACCTTCGAGAGTGCCTGTGATTCAAGATCTGCTGCGTCATCACTCTGCTGAACTTGAACTGCGTAAATATTTTAAGACCTGATACAGAGCTCATGATTCAGGAAGCCAAATTTATTTTTGTGGGGGAAAATTTGGGATGTTACAGGAGAATGCCAGCCTTTTCACTCTATAAGTGACTCTTCAGCTAGACCCAGTTTGTAGTTAAAAGTTAAATATGGCAGAATGGTTGTAAAGCATTTAAATTTATGGGCTGAGAATGTACCAATTATTTTCCTGTTCAGCTTTTCTCTTGTAAAACTCCGGGTAATGTCTCTCTGACCGACTGCCTCTCTGCCAGGATGTTGACGGTGAGTATGAACGTATACCTGCTCTTAACTTATGAAATGTGCCCTCTCAGAAATCAGCAAGGAAATATTTTCTTCTTGTACAAGTGGTACACAAAGGCATCATGGGGTTAAGTACCAGCATCAATCTGGAACGGAGAGGGCAAAATGCCCCTTTCTACTTCCCAGCCGATTCCTACTGATGCCCTGCTACCCGGAGGCAAGCTATCGCAGTGCTTGTTCACAGTGACGTCTGTCTGTCCTTTTGCTGTCGCACATGTCTGCACATCTTCATGTCTGCCTGCCTTTAAAACAAGTCCCGGACACTGTCCATGTGGTTCTTCAATCCAATATTCACAGTTCCCTCCTAGAGCGACTCACATACACGCGCCTAGCTAAAGGTATTCCTTCTAAAGATGTCTTGGCTTTCTATGGCATTTTTGTCTAGCCATTTCCCCTTTTGATTGGGCAATTTAAAAATAAATTTTAATTTTATGTTTTTGGGTGTTTTGCCTGCATGGGTCTGTGATCCAAGTACATGCCTGGTGCCTGTAGAGGCCAGGGAAGGTTGTTGGGGACCCTGGGGTTGTAACTGATGGTTATAAGCCTCCATGTGGGAGCTGGGAGTTGAACCCAGGTACTCTGCAGGAGCAGTAAGCCTTTTTTAATGGCTGAGCCATCTCTCTAGCCCCCGATGTGGCAATATTTTTTTTAAATCTTTTATCTTTTATTATTTGTGTATGTGTGTCTGTATGTGCATATGGGTACAGTGCCCAAGGAGTCCAGAATAGGTCATCCTATACTGGAGCCGGAGTTAGAAGTGGTTGTGAGCCGCTGAAATGGGTGCCGGAATCTGATCTTTGGTCCTCTGCAGGAGAAGTAGGTACTCATAACTGAGCCACCTCTACAGGACCTAATTTGACAAAATTTAGCTGCTACAAACTCTGTGTTTTCTTTTCCCATATTTCTCTTGTCTGGCTTTCTTTTACATATTTTATTATACGAACTATTTGTAAAATATTTTTGTCATTAGTAATTTCCAAGTGTTTTTTTTTCCTCCAAGAGACTTAAAAAAATCCGATTTATTTCATCAAACAGTCAAACAGCCTGACATGGTGGCTCACACCTGGAATCACATTTGGGAGCATGAGGCAGGGAACGGTGAGTGTGTTTGAAGCCAGCCAGGATTACAGAGTGAAAGGCATTCTATTTCAATAAACCAACTCCCCTAAAAAAAAAAAAGCATTTTCTAAAAAAAAAAATTAAACACCTGTGTGTAAACATAGCAGTTAGAAGTCTGAGGCAGGAGGATCTCAAGTTCTAGGCTAGCCTGGGCTACAGAGTGTTACCTTGTCTCAAACAACAATTTAAAAAATCAGGTGTCTCATTCCACATTAAAGACAAAAAACATGTTTCCTTCCTTATGTTTCTCACATTTTAACAGTTTTATAATTTAAACTCAGCACTTTAGATGGATTTCATTGTTCTCTTCCCTCTTTCATATTTATGCACTGCTCTCCCTAGACATGTATTTTTAAAACTAGTGAGAATAAATTCCCCAATCCAAGTAAATCTAGACCTAAGTATAGTGAACCTTAGCCCGGGAGAGGGTGGTGCAATCAATGAGAATGGGAAAAGACCTTCCCTTCAGAGATGCAACCGGAAATTGATGGACAGATGACTTCTCAACAGGAACTATGAGAGCCAGAAGACAATCCAGTAACTTTCCATCATGCTAAGCAAACAACTGCCAATAGAATACCACAGGGAATAAAATTTTTTTTCAAGATCGAACCTTTTAGGGGCTAAGGAGACAGGTAGGTCAGTGGAGAAAGGCTTGCTGCCCAGACTCAGGACCTGAATTGGATCCTCGGACGCACATGAAAAGCTGGGCATGGTGGCACATACTTCCGGTGCTTGAGGCAGATGTGCAGAGACCCAAGGCTTGCTGGTCACCCAGTCTACTCAGCGAGATCTAGGCCAATAAGTGATCCTGTCTCAAAGATACCGCTGTGCTCTCTGCCAAAAGCCAGTGTGCTGTAGTTTTTGAAGAACATCTTTTCTTTTAGTATAATTGTTTGAATGTGAGTACTCCATCCATAAAGACATCCTGCAGTCTGTTTATGTTTTCTGTGCTTGGGGACTTCAATGTGTGGTGGGTACTAGTTATGGGAACTTTGTTGCTATCATCTGGAGTGCAGCACAATTTTGGTTTAGAGGAGATAGCATTACATATAGTTGATTTAAATACTCCGGAGAATCATAAACTGGAATTTGGTACACATAAGGACTGATTTTTTTCAAAGGTGATCCTTTGGAGTCTGGCACACAACTAACTTGTGGGGGTATCTCACTTTTGTTTCTTGTTCCAAGTATCCACCAAAGACCCATTTCTTATTTTCTAAGTCTCTTTAGCCTCCTGTAAAAATAGACAGATGCTTGGGTAGAAAGCATCACCAAATGCCAGGTTTATCTCTGAGAGTCATGCCTTTAAAAAAGATATATTAATTATTTTTAATTATGTATATGTGTTTGGGCATGTGCATTTGAGATGAGTATGGGTGTCTGTGGAGACCAGAAGAGGGCACCAGCTATCTCCTGGAGCTGAAGTTACGGAGAATTGGGAACAATCTGATATGGGTGCTGTGGACCTGAACTAATGTCCTCTGCAGAAACAATACGCTCTCAACTGCTGAGCCATCTTTCCCACCCCCAGTTCATAACGTTTTGACCTATGGCAGCGGAGAGCTCAAATACTTAAGTTAAAAACATATCTTGTCCTGTTTTTCTACTTGTTTTCAGTGGAAAGGTTAGGGCAAGGTAAATTATAGTCTGCTGATACTGCATGTGTCTGCCACTGGGGAAGGGGCCTTTAGTGAGCCGAACTCACTGTAGAATTTTGTACAAGGTGGAAATCTAGCCTATAGACAGTTATCCCAGTTGATATTAAATGATGTTTTTCTAAATACTCATATATGACATGTGCTAGAAATCTACACATATACTAAGTTTCTATCTAAATTTCATAATAAGGATAATGAACAATAATGCTCAATCTAATGCTGAGAAATCAACACAATCGCAGGCCTTCTCATAATAGATGCCAGGGTATCTGACTGAGCTTGGGCCTCTTTTTTCAAGACCACATGTGCATCATCTACCTTCCCTTTAATTTCCCCCCTGCCCTGTTCTCTTTGGAGGTAATTAATGATACTTTTTGAGACCGCCTGAGCAATCCAGAGTAATTCTGCCCCCTCTCAAATTCCTCCAGTTAATCGAGTTTTCAAACCTTTAAACATTGACGACATTTTTACAAGTTACACGAATTAGCACATACTCATTGCCAAATGCACAGCCAGCTTGTGCTCAAATGCCTGATGCTCTCTCCACTAAGCCCTGCTTATGCGCTGGGTTATTTCCCTGGTTGTTGGAACTCCAGCATGTGGGTCTGTTTTTTTCATTACCGTAACAAAATATTCGAGGTAGACTAACTTATAGAGAAGAGAAGTTATTTCATATTCCTAGAGATTTAATTGCAAGTTGCTCATTGCTTGCTTTGGTGTGGCTATGGTGAGTTCCTCCTGGGGCATGGTAGACAGTGGCCCAGTGACAAGGACTTTTGGGTGGCATCCAGACATCAGTGAGAGACTAGGTTCCACAACCCCTTCTGAGGACACTCCTCTCCCTAGGCACTGCCCCATTAAGGATGCCATCAGCCTCACTGTGTCACGCTGGGGATCAAGAAGCCAGTATGGATCTTGGATGGACACTCTTAAACCATAGTCACACCACACCAGTGTGCTCCACACAAGGTGTTCAGAGTGCACTTGGCATCGAGTCGTTTTTATCTATTGTTTCCTCCTTTTCTCATTTTTATTCCCTTCTATTTTAATGCTTTGAGATTCCACATCTTCCATCCAACACACTCTCACATAGCCAGGTTGACTCACTGCATGACCGTGACACTCATCAGAACCTCCCGTGTTCCCAGCAAGTGAGTCGGTAGTGTGAGAAGAGTCAGAACTCAGAGCGGTTCAAAGATCCAGCAGGAACAACTCGCACAGATTTCTATGACTTTATTGGGGAGCCAGTAATACTTGACTTCTCTCTTTTTGTTTGGCAGCTGCTGATCAGTATTTCCTGGGGCAACTACTTAATTAGTGATTGAAAACTGGGGGCATTCTGTGTCATTTTTTTTTTCATTTTCATTATGATCTGGATAGGTCTATGAATAGAGGCATGGGTGTTTTGTTATAATCCTCTATCTATGGTTAAGAGAGAAACTCGAGTTTTTCAGAGTGGTCTCTCATTTGAGCCTAGAGCTTTGAGACCAGCACAAGCAGTCATGCAGTAGTGGGCCAGACACCTGCCTTTTTCCATGAATTAAAAACCATATATTTGCACCAAAAGTCATCAGCGACTTCCAAGATGCCACTAAGTCCTCTAACATGATACCTGCTTTTGTCCGTCCTTTAAAATTCTATGAATGTGCAGCTCTGGAAGACCCAACATCCTTCCCTGAAGTACGTTTTTGTCACTCTGACCATGTGGCAAAAACACAACAGATAATGAAGAAGCTGGTCTATCTACTTCATCTGTGGTACCTTTCCATGCTCACGGACGTCATCTGATCTTTCCTCGTAGTGCAGAGGAACAGAGAGGAGACAAACTCTGAGACATGCTCTCCATGGATCTAAACATCTGTCTCTGCTAATGTTGGAGGACTGTCGCCACACAAGGTTTCCTAAGTAGACCAGATAGGGTTAGATTCATCCCATCTGGTGCCTAATCTGAGGAAACGTGGGTAGATGGTGGGATCTCCTCTCTACTTTTCTGGCCAAGACTGTGCCTGTCCCTTAACCTTCTAGGAGGCAGTGAGCTGCTTCAGGAGATGGAGAACTGTCAGGAGCACCTTCCACAGCATCTTCATCTCACTGAGCTTCTTCCCCACTCGGGATTCATTTCCAGCAACTGCACTTGTCTGACTTATCCGAGAAGGGTCCCTCGTCTCCGGGGAGACCATTTACTGCAAAACCTCTCTTCTTCCATCTGTCACCTAATTGGTTAGTTAGGACTAATTTCAGGAGGACTGTGTCCTGTGTGATGCTACAGGCTGTCACATGATAGAGAAGAGTAGCAGATGACCCTCTCCTCGGGGAACATTCCTGTTGGGTTGCTTGGCTATACGAACCCACAGGAAACACGGAGGAATCTGCAGGATGATGGATGTTTGTGTAACTGGAGCCAAAATTTAGCAAGAGGAGTTCAGTTGAAAATAAGGGGTGGGGGGAACCCTTCGAGGCTGCATTTAGTGAATGAGCCCAAATCCTTTGGTGGAAACACAATGCGATGAGTGCAAGCATGCTTCAGTGGAGAAGTGAGGTTTGATGCTGGAGCAGAGGGAAAAAAATGCAAAATCAGAAGAGACAAGCTGGGCTGATCCACCTGAGGGTTTCCTGATTTTATTTGGAGAACCCTACTCAAGGGAGCTTTGTCAAACAATCCATAGATTCCTAAATATGTGATGAATGGCGCTGCCATCACCCAAAGATCCTATTTTCTTGTGTGGAAGCTCACCTGGCATAATTATTCTTTTTCATAATTATTTTACTGAGTCTATCATGACTGGGAGTTGCTTTGAGCAGTTCCGGATTCAGAGGGGCTGAGTGGTTCAGCCGCTCCGCCCCATGTTACTCACCTCGGTTCCGATGACAATTTCTTCCCTGGTCGAGTAGAACATAAACTCATAGAGCCTGTAGTGCTGGAATAAGCTGAAACACAAAACAAACATGGAACTAGAGTGACAGAAGAGAAAAATATCTGAAGGATGTGACTCAAAGGAGTTGGGGATTGGCCAAGCCAGAGGTAGTCCACAGAGATACAGAAATCCATCTCCTTCATTCTGAAGTAAGCTGCCTGGGAATGCTGGGAGGTTCAAGGTTTGCTTTCTGAGACACTGACAGGACAACACAGAATGTAGGAAAGTGTCAGCAGGTCCGTCTGTGACATGAGGGATTGTGGTGGTGGTGGTGGGGGGGTGCTCTAGGGTAGAGAAGCAAGAGTGTGTTTCCTAGTTTGAAATGTAGCTACCACCCTCCCCGAACATACACACACACACACACACACACACACACACACACACACACACACACACACACACATCCAGCCAGCTGCACAGTCTTCACGTCAGTTGTGCTTTGCTCTAGATCTTACTCAATCCTGGTATGAATGAGGCTGGATTTCTATATCCATTATGCCACACATTGCCAAAATGTTTCGAAATTAAATCGATCTCTAGAAACCCCAGAAAAATGACTTGGCAAGGTCTAAAATTTGTTTTTAAAATGTCTGACTTTCCTGCAGAATGTGTGGTCACACATCAAAGGCTGGCGTACGTTTATTCGGATCATTTCTTTTCTTCTCACCTGAAAACTAGGTGGTCAGTGACCATGGACTACAAGAGCTCCAAGCCACAAGCTCTTGCAAATAAATATTTCTAGTAAGTTAAGAGCTTGGCGATGTATCTTTGAGAGTTAAAAATGTTACTGAAGGGCTGACTTCTAATATCCTGTTTGTGATAATATTTGAATTTTTCTAATTCTCTTCCTGCTGGTTGGGAAAATTAATAGACTCATAATACAGCAAAACGCCTAAGAACAAAAAAAAAATGTCTTCGTGGTTCTCTTTCACTCTGGTGCCTTCTGCTATTTAAGAAAATTGATTTTAATATAACTGAGAAATTAACATTTGCAAGAATGTAGCTACAGAGCATGTGTAATAATGGCTTCTCCTGGATGCTGTAATGGATCAAAGTTTCAATTCATTTGAAATCAATGAAGAAATCCTCAGGCAGCTGGGCTCCTCCGAGTTACATTAGCAGTGGGGCTCCGTAGGAGCTCAATCCATTAAAGAGTGGTGGCTGTGTGGGCCCAGTCAAGTTTCCTTTCTTCTCTGCAGCCATTGAATACTTGATTTACTCATCAACATTCACAAGACTAACTTAGCTTTTGACATTGCTTTGATCTGTTGGCTAGAAAAACACACGAAGATTAGTGAAGTCTGATAAGTCACCGAAGCAAAAATAAAGTCAGCTTCCCCCTCCTTTATATTGGTGACCTAGAGAGAACTGTAGGGTCAAAAACATCACACTGACATTAACTGATTTTGGCGTATAAAAAAAATCAAAGGCCATATTTGGGAACCAGCTTGCCATCCTGTAAATGAACTAGAAAAAAAAAATCCTACTTTGTCCATCTTGTGCTTGACACGGAACATAGGGTAAAACGTTTCCACTCTGCAACGTCATAATCTTTCAGTCTCTTTGTCCTTGTTATATAGAGGATGGGGCTGTCCTATGTCCGCCAAGAGGGAACTGAAGCAGTGAAGACAGTATCCATGACTTGGATATGATGGTCAACTGGACCAGGACCAGGATGTGTACCCAGGGGAAGATGCCTAAGGGGATGCTTCCTGAGGGACAGGCCAAGTTCCCTCCCTGTCTCTCTGCACCCTCCAGCTTCTCCAGGGGGCTAGTTGGTGCCTCGCCTGGACATCAAGTGACAGTTCAGTCATGGGAATGCATTTGCTGTCTCTTCCATTGGACTTCTGTCTGACTCAAGCTTCTAACTTTTGGGTTAGACCTCGAAGCAAGATGGAACAAAATTGGTCTGAGCTTTCTGGCTGGTGTCACACATTGTTTGACACAAAATGGGGGTGGGGCTAATTTTCTTACAGTGGGATATGTGTGGTTCTCAGGGAAGAAGAATACTCAATGAAAAGAGGTAAACAACATTTGCATTTATAAGAGTATGCAATATTTATGTATATATATATGTATATATATATTTAGATTGCATAAGCACATAGCTCTCCCCTGCTCACCCCTGTGTGTGTGTGTGTGTGTGTGTGTGTGTGTGTGTGTGTGTGTGTGTGTCTGCTTGTTCAGATTGCATCAGCAGAGAGCAGTAGCACCCCATACTCGTGTGGAGAAGAAATTTGGTAGTAGTGTTTCCGGAGATATACCATTTAGGCTAAAGTGAAAGTATTTGAAGAAATGTAATTTTATTGACAAGTTAAGTTTTCTATTGTATGACAGTTTCCTCCTTTTAATGGCCAATCTCCTCCTAGAAGGAGAGTTTTACAAGACCTAGACTGACAATAAGACTTACAAGGCTGAGGAGATCTTGAAACCAAGGGCTGAAGAACCCCAGAAAATGATGAGATTCAGAGCCCCCCCCCCCCTCCAGGGTTGTATAAGCAACAAGCAGTCACTGGAGAGGATAGCATCGCTGATAAAACTACCTGTCACATTCTGCAGGGAGCTCAAAGGATGTGGCTTCCATAATGTCATCTGTGCTGGGGGTGGGGGTGGGGGTGGGAGTTCATCTGTCTTCAAGTCTCCCATGCTCCCAGAAGTAATTCTAATAGACTCATTATTTCACTAAGCTAGACTGGGCAGAATTATTTCTTTGGTCTGTCTGTCTGTCCTCTGGGGGGTGAACAGGCATTTGTTCATGTCTCTCCAGGAATAGTCATGAAATGTACATGCCATGGGCCTTAGGTGAAAAACTTGGTCTCTTAAGTTGAGTATGACTTTCAGTGGTTGGATCAACAGACTATCAGGGCTAAAGTGAAACATACCTCTTTTGATAGTTTGGTTATTCTTCATATTTATAAAACTTAATAATCATTGGAATGAATATATTGTGTAATTTCACTGCTACTAAATTTCTACTTGTGAACCCATGAGGGATTCTGAACAGTTGTGGAAAGGCTCACACTGTTTCATACAACCTCATTATCAGTTCCAGATATCCTAATCACTGGTACTTTATCCTTTGTGTAATAACTATATTTAAATGCATAGCTATTCTGTAATCACAATGTGGAGATTTAACAGCATTACATCTGGATTTTCTGTATTTAACTAATCTCTTTAAGTATTCTTTTTATTAGGAGATCTAAAATTGGGCATGAGGAGCTGTTAAGATGTACACTGATGAACATTGCCTGGAGAGATGAGTTGAGGCAGGGAAGGGAGCTTGTCCCTCACAGTCAGGAAAGGGACTTGGTGGCATGTGTGGAGGCTTTGATGCTGTGCTTAGCTATGGGACCCCATTTGCATTATAAACCTGGGCTTAGGGCTCAGCTGTAAAATTCTGCCCTGCCGGAGCAGACCAGCATGAGTAGATAAAGAAGGAAGCCAGAGCAAGCATACATGGTTGACTTGCCCTGCCCGGGGAATCTCAGGCCCTAAGGGGCAGAAGGATCTTAGGGCACAGATTCTCATGTGCTTGCTCGTGCATGCATGCATGTGTGTGTGTATGTGTGTGTGTGCATGTGTGGTGTATGTGTATGTGTGTGTGTGCGTGTGCGTGTATGTGCGTGAGTGTGTGTGTGTGTGTGTGTGTGTGTGTGTGTGTGTGTGTGTGTGTGTGTAAGAGCAGGTGCACGCATTCCATGGTGAGTGGAAGAGCTGAGAGGACAACCTCAGGCATTGAGCTTCATTTTCCCTTTCCCTGTTTTCGGGAATATGGTCTTTCTTGTTCACTATTTCACAGGCCAGGCCCGCTGGTCCAGGAGATTCTCCCCCCACCTCCTATCTCCTTATGTGTCTGTCCAGGCTTACAGACACTCCTGGCTTTTCGTGGGCTCAAAGAATCTGAACTTGGGTCCTCTGGCTTCCGCAGCAAGTGTTTTACCCACAGAGCCATCATCTACCCAGCCCCAGGGGCAGGTTTCTGTCCATTTCCTCCTCTTCCCCCAGTGGAGGAATTTCTCTTGCTCTAAAAGCTATGGAGACTTGTACGGCTTTCAGTGAGACTCACAAAATAGGAAGCATGTTTTGAACTAAATAAAAAATCACATTGTGTTAGATGCTATCTTATAAAAAGTACTGGATCCTATGCCATTATTAAGCCATCACAGAAATCAGTATATAAGCTTTATCGTATTAAACACACTAACATTTATAAAGCTCCCAGACAACAACCGGGATCTTTGCCAAGTGAGTCTCGAACCTGTGTAGGACATTGGTGGCCCTCTGTGTGGAAGGATGCTAAATGTAATGTTGGGAAGTAGTGGAGACACAGTTGAAAGCAAGAACAAAGAGACTGTGCAGAGAAACGTAGTTGGGAAGAGGCTGATTTTCACCTACTGGTGTCTCAGGATTTGTGACATCTCAAAATATCTCTTTGGAGACAGGCATGCCTCTCACACACACTTTGTGACAGGCTCCATAAAGCAGATTTTAGGCTGGGAGATGGCTCAGCACTTGGTGTGCATATCTGAAGACCCAAATTCAGGTCCCTGGCACCCATATAAATGATGGGTAGGCATGGTGGACCACCACTAATCCCATTGCTCAGGAGGTGGAGACAGTGTTTCCTAGGGATGGGCTGGCTGGTGGAATATGCTGAATCAGAGGGCTCTGGGTTCAAGTGAGAGATTCTGTCTCAATAAATGGAGTGGGGAGCAATTGAGGAAAATAGTTGAGGTCAACTTTGAGCCTCCAAATACATTTGCACACATGTGTGTCCTCATACACATGTGTGTCCCTGTATAAGCAAACGTGTGCACACTACACATATACAGGCAAGAAATGAGACAGATTTCTTCCTAAGTGGTGAAGAGTCACTGATATAAACATACTTCCACTCCATCCACAGTCACTTTCTGAGTAGAAAGTAAGACTTAATAATGAGTTAAACTGGTTATTAGTTCAAAATATCTTAGGGTATTTAATAAACTCGATGAAGTATGTGACTCTCTTCATTTTTTTTTTTTTTTCTGTACCAGGCTTGAGCATATAATCTCATGATTGGTAGGGATAAACACCTTACCAAGGAGCTACAGTCCCAATCCTTTTTGCAAATACTTTTAGACAAGGTCTCACTAATTTGCTTAGCCTGACCTTGAACTCATGCTGTTGTGCCTTAGCTTCCTCTCCTAGGGATTACAGGCCTCTGCCATAAGGATTTATAGCTCTTTCATTGCAAACACAAATCATGTAAAATCAACTTTTGAGTGGGAAACGAATATTACTCTTTAAAATGTAAATGTGGCTCCTTGGATGAACCAGCTACCTAAAATATAGATCCATTATAACCAGTTTCAATTCTGTTAATACAAGGCTGTTGGTTGCAGACTCAGGGAAGAAAGGCAGTCCCCAGTAGTGATTACAGGCCAGATGAAATCACAGTGTCACTCAGGAATCATCTTTACAAATGCAGAGCAAGACAAGAGTCCTCGCTTTCCTTTGTTAGGTGGAAAAGCTGAGTATTCTCTACTTTGAAAAAAGTTAATTTTGTGCTCATGTAGGTGTGTGGGTACATCTGTGCTACTACCATGAGTAGCACAGCTTGGAGGAGTCAGTTGATGATTTCTGTCTACTGTGTGGGTCCCGGGGCTAGAACTCAGATCATCAGAGCTTGGCGGCAAGCGCCTTACCCACTGAGCCATTTCCACAGCAACTGCTCATTGAGTAGTTGTTGGGCAAATTCCATAGCCGTCTGAATTTACTAAAATCTAAGTTATCTTTAATAGGGGTTTTCTAGAAGACACGAAATGGAGGATAAATGAACACAAGTCCTACCTGATTTTCAGGTAATCGGTGATGGCGTTGGCTTCTTTGACGTCAAAGACGTGCAGCTCCTCATTCTTCCGTGAACCGTTAGGTCCGATCTCTGCCATCACTTCCCCAAGCCACTTGATACTGTCCTCTAAGGACATGTGGAGTGCTGAAAACAAAGCCGGGAAGCCTTTCTGTCATCTTGATAGCTGTTGTGGGGGGGGGGGGGGACAACGGTCCAAGATGTCCTAAATCTGCCCAAATTTCCCTTGCCCAGCATTTGTGGAGAGAGAAGGTGAAGCCCTTGTTTCTTTACAGCTAATTAACAATTGCTTTTTGCATGAATTAGCAGTGGTTGGTCTACCCATCGTTATGACCATTTACGTGCATGGTTGGCTGGACAGTTTTTGTTTCCATTTTCAAGAGCAAAACCACAAATATCTATTTAAGCACCACTTTTAAATGGAAAAGAAAATGTTAAAGCAGTTTTTAAGGGAAAAAAGAAGGGAATATAAAAATTAGAGACGAGGTGGTGAGGAGACCCAGATCATGGGTTCAGCCACTATTGACATCAGTACTGAACTTGGGTGGGGGAGGCCAGTGAGTAGAGTCCCCCTGTTTCTTGGCTATAACTGGGTGTTATCATGTGAAAATTTGGCTGGAAGATTTTTGATAGGAGTCAAATATATGGATATTTTCAAATTCTCTGTATTTATTTTTTACATTTTATTTATTTCATCTCTCTCTCTCTCTCTGGGGTCACATGGTTTCTATGTAGGTAAAAGTAAGATTTCAGAGAATTGGTTCTCTCCTTCCAAGGTTGCCAAGGACTGAACTCCGGTCATCAGGCTTGGTGGCAGGTGTCTTTATCTGCTGGGTCATCTCATTAACCCTTTAAATATCTATATTGAAAATAGGAATTTTTGTATAAAATATCATCATCACTAAAGACTTCAAAGCTATGTGACCTGTTTGTCAAACATTTGCCTTTGAGAGACTGTCCAACCTGGATAGAAATGACACAACTTCCTCACCACGACCCACAATGAGCAGCTTGGTAGTTCTAGAAGATTCTCAGAAAGCTGCATATAGACAACAACAAAACACACGTGCACACAACAAAGCACCATTTCTCCACAGGCTATTTCCTATGACACTTGTCCAGTTGAAAATGAAACTTAAATATTCATAACTTCAGACTTAATTCTATGGTGTCTTTGGTGAAAATATAAACGTCTATTGTCCTTTTTGATTGGTTGATTGTGTTTGGTTTTTCTTGTGGCAGGTAGAATACCATCTCTGTGCTCTCTCCCCTCCTGCCTTGGAGACTGGAGACAGGCAACTGGAGTATCCAGAAAGTCTTTCCTGACACTGGTGGGTAGGCATGCACATGGGACAGAGGTGGCTGAAGGCAGAGTTGAAAAGTCTTGGACAAATGTGTCTGGGTCGGGTGTCAGGAGAGGTGACGCTCAGCTGCGGTGCCTGGCTGAGGGCTTGAGGGGATTCTTCACAAAGGCTGCAGCACAGAGCTGAAGACCTCTTAGGAAGCCATCAGTAAAGATCCTACTTTCTGTACTAGCATGGGGTGTTGTAGGATGGGGATGGGGACAAAGATAAACTATGAGAATACAGACGGATAGTTGGTCCGGCTACATCTAGAGCAGTGGAGTCAGGCACCTACCCCCCCCCCCCAACTTCTCAGGAATGCACAGGATGTCAAAATCACTAATATAATTTTTAGGAAGACATTACAATCATCAGCTTATAATTACTTTGTTCAAATTTTCTATCTGTAGCAATTAGAAAGCAATGGAAAGTAATTGAACCCCACTGAGCACTGCAGTGCATGTGCCTGGTGCTGGGTGGAGCAATTTAAAATGCAGTACCCGGAAAGGACTAGGGGTAGTTCTTATGCAATCATGCCCTCCTACGGGTCTTGATTATCACGTGAGTCACACAGAACTGCAGGTCAAGGGCTTTTCGTTGGTCATCTCAGGTAAAACACATTCTTACTGTACATTTCTCTTTTCACAATAAACCTTCAAAATAACCCCACAATTGGAGGGAATTTGGGAAGAAAACATGAGTATGATGAGAACAGCTCATAGTAAATCGAAAAATCAAACTCATTCATTTGAGATACTGAAAAAAAAGTTTACTTAGATGATTGATTTGAATTCTGGATGGAACTATGGCTATCAAACACAGAATGCATCTGCTTAGAAGACTGTGGCTTGGGCTGACCGGTGGCTGACTCCTTAGCACTGTGTTTGGGGAGCCTCCTGCCTTACTAGAGATGACTGCTTTGGAAGTTACAGGTGTTACCCTTTCTCTCAGTTAACTGAAGTCCCGCAGGTGGCGTGACCAGACTGAGAGGGACTAAACCAGATTCACTCTGGGAAACTGAGGTGAGGAAGGAGACTCTAGACTTGTAACTAGTTAGAAAACTTGGGGTGGGATCAGGTAAAGGCACTTGCTGTCTAGGTCACCGGTCTCATCATTTTGCCTTTGGAAGAGAACTCCTGCATCCAAGATGCTGGTGCTAGTGTGGCAGGCAAATAGGAAATGCACAGGAGCCCCTGGACAGCCAGTCTCTGTGTGTGTTCTTTTTAGTTGATGATTCCTGCACCATTTCAGCGTGTATCAGTTTGTATTCTACTATGAATGTGCTGTTTCCAAGGTATACCACATTTTTCATCTAGTCTGCCTGTACGATTTCTACTGAGAACCAGCTTCAAGCGTATTCCACATGGGCTGTTCATAGTGTGTGGTGCTTTCTGGCCCTTTACATATGTGCCCTTCCTAGCACGTACCCATTTCTGGTCCTTAACATATGTGGCTTCCTAGTGTTTACCCGTATCCCTTTACACATGCGCCTTTCCTTTCATGGACCTGTTTCTAGTCCACTGTACATGAACGGCTCTATATATGTGCCGTTCTTGGCCTGCATCATTTCTCATCTACCACGTGTGCGCTGGTTTCTAGCCTTCTACTGTGTGTCTATTGTATTGTGTTTCTATTGTATTTTCTTTGTTGTTTACTCTAAGTTTTGCCCTGTGCCAGCCATGTGGGATGTGGCATCAGGACAGACCCTTGTTTGCTGAAGTTGACCTCATGTCAACTTCAGGAATTAACCAAATCTCTCAGAATCTTATTCATCTCTCTCTCTCTCTCTCTCTCTCTCTCTCTCTCTCTCTCTCTCTCTCTCTCTCTGAATAATAACGCATAAATTATTTGCTGTGGTCTATTTTTCGGGGAATGCTGACACAAAAAAATCTAACTTGTTGAATAAACGTGACTTTGTTTTTTGCAGAAATATTTTCTGCCTTCAGCGGGTACAAACCACAAAAGCAAAAGCATGCTCTTTAGATAAGTCTCCGAACTGTACTTTATATCTTTGAGATGATCCAGTGTGATTTGAGGTGGGCTCTCAGCAGAAAGGCTTGTAGACACGCAACACAGGTTTGGGGCCAGGATCAAGTCAGAAACCCAGATGTCCAAAAGTGGGTGTCCCGTGGGCTGGGCTGCTTGACAACCATGAACCTGGGCTGTGCTCCGTGGCTGGAGCTGTGGTGTAGTGTGGCATGATGACTTCATGTTCAGGACCCCATGGTCCCCTGGTTTAACTGCAAACATCCTTTACCTCCTTGCTGTGTAAACCGGCTGAAGCTGTGCTCTTGGTTCACAATCTAATTCCATCGAGCGGTCTGAGAGGGTAGTTTTCTTACCAGATGCATACATCAGCTTGTCTGCTTTCCCCCACATACACGTTCACTCTCTCCTGACTTAGCCTCATGGAGCCCGCCCACGGATCAGAAGTACGGGTTCGAACTGATACCAACCATACAAGGCTCCACTGGAGGCTGGGAGGTGTGGGAAAAGGTGGAAAACGGAAATGTTCTCTCAAATTCGGACTGTGAAACTCTTGAAAATGCTCACCTTTGGCTCTCCACGGTGAACACTCTGCTCAGAAGTTGCGAGGCTTAGGACAGCCACATCAAACATCCTTTGAAACTTTAATTTTCATAGGACTGATGTATTCAAGTTTTGCCTTATATGCAGATCTGGCCTGAAAAGGCTTCCTCCAGCTCCTGCTGCTCACACCCCAGTTTCCACATCCTCCCCAGAAGGTTTTGTTTTTATTTTATTTTATTTTTTAAAATTAAGACCCATTCTTACTGTGTGTTAGGTTCACCTTAGACTCCCCCACCCCCGTCCCCCCACCTCCCAGAGCCCTAGCACTAAAATTCTAGTGTGTGCCTCCATGCCTGGCTTCACAGACCATTCATATTTTTTTTCCTGTATTCTTCTGCTTTCCTGTATGCATATAAATAAAAACATACATTCTAGTTTTTATCTTTTATAAACAAAAGTCCATAGTTCTTCATGTTCTTTTACTCTGCTAATATGGAGTCTTGTCTCACAATATGCAGAAAGATTTCTCATTTCTGCTTTAGAATACGATGTATTCTACTTTTAAGATAGATTAACTAATATTTGGGTTTCAGCATAGTTTCAGATATACAGAAAATTGCAAATATATCAGAGTATCCTAAGATATTTGGAGTGTGATTGGTGCAGGGAATACTAATTAGAATAACTTTGGCGAATCAACAAAGAGAACCTTAGTCTTACTAAGAATTCTTTGAGGATTTACCATTCAGTGCGAAATGAGCTGTCTCTGTTGTATCCAGGAAACAAATCTCCAGTTCTTATTAAAGGAATCACAATGAGGCCAGCATCTTGGCTTTTGAATATTAATTTACACAGACTACGTTTCTTCCCCTTAAAACAGTAGAGAGGGACTGGACTTACTTTGAAGATTGTGCAGTAACATGTCCAGCAAAGTCATGAATTTTGAATATTGGTCAATAGAAAAGTCCATTCCTTTGGCCCAAAAGAACCCGGACACGTAGTAGTCTAGGAGAATGGCATCTCTTAAACAAGTCTGGAGATTTTTAAAATTCAGAATTACACTCATTTTTCTGTAACGAAAAGGAAAAATGCAGACATTAGATGGGGTTAAGTACTGAACAGTTCTGAGGAGTTTTGAAAGCAACTAGTTTAATGAAAATTCTAGACTGCTTCTCACCTTAAAGTATTCAGTCACATCAGAATCCACAAGGTGAAAAGGGAAGGGGAGGAGTGGAGGCAGGAGAAGAAGGGCAGGGGGTGGCTGGGAGGGTGCTCTTCCCTGGCCCCCATTCTCTTTTTTCTCTGTCTCCACTTCTTTTTTTTTTTTTTTTCTGAGACAGGGTTTCTCTGTGTAGTTTTGCACCTTTCCTGGAACTCCCTCTGTAGTCCAGGTTGGTCTCGAACTCACAGAGATCAGCCTGCCTCTGCCTCCTGAGTGCTGGGATTAAAGGCGTGCGCCACCACCGCCCGGCTGTCTCCACTTCTTATACCTTCAACACCTGATATAAAAATTTCCTCCCGAAATTCTAAATGCAATACCCCTTTCTTTTTTGTGTGGCAGTACCTCATGCTCAGGCTAGTCTGGAACTTGTTATGCAGCAAAAATGACCTTGAGCTCCTGATCCCCCTGCCTCAGTCCCATTGCTATTACTGGGATTAGAGACAGGCATGCCAAGTGGGTGCCCTTCCTACCAGTTTGGTCGCCTCATCTCCAGCCAGGACCTCGCTGCTACCAATCAACCTACTGATTAAGTTTGATCCATTTCTGAAAACAGATGGCTAAATATTCCGTCCTTTTCTCCCTGCAAAGACGACAACCTGGGTATGTTTCATTGGCTTTCTGTCAGGCACATTTAATTTTTTTTCAAACATTCTTCCTTTCCCTGAGTCTGTTTCTTATTCTTTCTCTCTCAGGATGGGGTAAGCAGTGACTCCTTCCCTGAGCTGCTGTTAGACCTTTCTTTTTCTACACTTTTCTTCTGATGCTTCTCGCCCTTTCTTTCCCATCATCCCTTCCTCCAGCTCTTCTAAGTCCATTCTGTGCTGTTGCTGTGGCTCTGTAAGTTTTGGAAAATCTGTGAGACAACATTCGCCTGTATCTTCTGTGTGTCCCTGCTCACATCTTTCTGGTGGTGCCTTTGTCCTGTTCCTGTCCTGTTCTCTGTCACTGCCTCTGCAGGCATAGTCCTCACATGTTAGTTATCTTTGAACAGCTGCTTGCGGGAAATGAACTGGGTGTGGAGACCTGCCTATGACACACCCTATTAGATGCTTCCTAGGTCCTTAGATCAACTAGTAGATACTTCCTGTGCCGTGATGAAAAACTGGTTGGTGCTTCCTGGGTCCCGATAACCAACTCATAGGCATTTCCTGTGTGGAGTTACTTTCTGTCAATTCTTTTAACATTCATTTCTGTTTTGATTAGTGAGATTAGAAAAAGGAAAAATACTCATTTTACTGGGACATCAATGGTCTGTAATACAGGTATGTGCACCCCGTTCCTGCACACCCAGGTCCTACACTACAAATGGGGACTCATGGCACAGCATCTAGGGTTTTCTCCTCCAGGAAGTGTCCTGTACCTTTCCTTCCTCCTAAAACCTGTAGCTGTGTGTGTATCTCCCTCAAACTGTCTCCTGTGTATCAGTCGTTCTGTGATAATTGTGGGGATCACCTCCAAAGCTCATGCTTTGGGCCTTCAGCATTCTCTGGTTTTGACAAGGGTTTGACTGATTTTCCCTGTTGCTTATATGTGATTTCTGGGAGATGGTATGTGTGGCAAACTCACTCCACCATCTTCAAAAGGGGAGCCCTTGTCCTTCACCACATTCAAACGAGTGATAATGAAAACCAGTTCAGATGTTCAAGTGTTTTCTGACATGTGTCCAACAATCAACGTCCACTTCAAAGGTGTAACAATCAACATCCACCTCAAAGGTATAACAATCAACATCTACCTCAAAGGCAACCCTATCAGGAGAAACCACAAACCCTACATGAGGGCTGATGATTTTTTTTGGTTTTTCGAGACAGGGTTTCTCTGTATAGTTTTGGTGCCTGTTCTGGATCTCGCTCTGTAGACCAGGCTGGCCTTGAACTTACAGAGATCCGCCTGCCTCTGCCTCCTGAGCGCTGGGATTAAAGGCGTGCGCCACCACTGCCTGGCTGGTCTGATAATTTTAAGCAACCATTTCATCTCCCTTCCCTTCTCATCATGGCGCACGATGCTGTCGAGACTATGAAATCGGTCTAAGAGACGGGCTTTTCTTAGGTGCCTTATTACTTTATTAATTCACAAGGACAAGTTAGCGTTTCCTCCGTTGTACAAAAGCCATACAGGGTAAACAAGTAGCTTTGATTGCTATTGGCAGCCATCTTGTAGTCTTTATCTAAAATGTCACATACCAGGAGACTTACAGGCAGGTTGGCTTCATAATATTGAGTTTGATACTGACATTATATATACTATATACCTGTTTATATATATTTATGCATGTGCATACACACAGTATTTATGTATCTGCATCCCTTTGAAAAATTTTAACGTGTTAGTGTGTATGTGTGTAGAGGCCAGAGGACAACTTGCCGTTTTGCCCTGGGATCCACCGTCTGCCTCTGAGTGCTGGGATTACAGGCAGTCGCCACGACTGCCCAGCTTTAACATGGTTGTTGGGGCTCCTAATTCCAGTCACCATGCCTGCACGGTAAGGACTTGGTCCACTTAGCCATCTCCCCAACCCTACCGGCTGCTTTTATAAACGATTTTCTAAAAACTTTTTGTGTAACGAGAACTATTGACCCTTTTTATTTGGGATACAGTTTTCCTGCCTTCCGAAATTCAATTTTATTTTTGTGAAAGGAAGAAATTGGGTTACTCCCCCCACATGCACACACTTTTTTTTTTTTTACCAGAATGTTCTAGAATAGTTGTTCTAGTTTATAATTATCCTGTTTGCCTTTGTTTTAATTTCAAATGAATCTTGTGCTTACTGCCAGGGTTTTTTTTAAATTTTATTATTTTTGTTTTCTAGATCACAGTTCTCTTTGGCAGTTTTCTTGTTATTGTTACATTAGATGCATCAATGAATTGATTAATCTTTCCTGAGGTAATGGGTCAATTTTTCAATTAAACCACAGGACACTGAGGGGTTTTTTTTCTTTTTTTTGAGTTCTTTATATAAAAATGTCCTAAACAATTCCAGCTAGAATTTGATCCTGAAACTACATTCTTTCTATGAACCAGATTTTAATGGCTTGGCTGTTCCTCAGAGAGCTGCTGTCCATTCCTGACAGGGAACTGTGAGAGGCCTGCCTGCTCATTGTCCCTGGGTCACTCACTTTACACTGGACATAATGAAATGCTTGAGGTTTCAGGCCACTGAAACAGGAAAATCCAAGCATGTGTTACATGAAGTTTCGTTCTTTTCTGGTTCATTATGTTAGATGTGAAACCCAATACCCTCTCATCCTGTTACTACATATGCACTGCTATGAGTCTCCTCACATTTATCTTCTGTTGTCACTGACTCCATTTTCAGCAAAGCAGATTCCACATTAACTTAATTCTTTATGCTTAGAATCTTCTTTTAGCTCAAAGAGTTCCTTTATGTACATATCTTACCAGCTCTTTAATCCCTTGGTTTGCGGAGTTGATTTAGCCTTTAATCATGAGCTTTGGGGTAACGTTTCTCTCACTTCTGTTGATTTTTCTTTAAACTTTCTCTTACTCTGCCATCTGCACTCTGTGTATTCTTAAGTAAATATTTGACCTGAATACCTGTACATGGTACTTGTTTTCTATTTTTGTTTTTTTCAACACTTGTGTTTGAATGAACTCAACAACTTTTTCAAACATATTTTGGTGAGGGCTCCCCAACCTCCCTGCACCCTAGCTTTGATGGGCACCTTCCCTCCCTCCCTTCCCCTGGGACTAGTGGACTCTCACCCTTGACTTAGTATTGATGGTTTCTGTTCTTCCCCAGTCATTTTACTCCAAAGGAGGTAATACAGGTAATACAGGGAATCATTCAGAGCAAGACAGGGCCCCAGCTGGAACACAGTTTCTGTGTCTTCTACTGGTCAGTTTGGTCATAAAGAAGGATGGCACAAGACAGAGGCAGAGAGGAGAGAGAGAGCGCCACAGCTGTAGCATGGGCTGATGCATGAAAGGAACTCAGTGGCATCTCAGGACATTGTGACATGGCGAGGAGAGGTGATGGAACTGTTGACTCCCCAGGGGAGGCCTTACCCTTTCTGAGGAGTGGATGGGAGTGAGTTGGGGAGCAGGAGGATGGGAGGGAGGGGGAACTGTGGTTGGTAGATAAAATGAACTAAAAAATTAACTAATAAAAAATTAACTAATAAAAAAGAGCGTCAGCAAAACTGTCTCATCACTCCCTTCATGCTCTAGAACTTGGAATGCCTTCCCCTTCTGAAGTGCATCAGCATACAGAAATGAACTCTGCAGACCAGCTGAAGAGCTCGGAGAGGTTTGCCTGCAGAAGGTTATTATAAGGCATCTTGACAGACCTGGTGTGGGGCACAACTCAAAGTCCAGTACTTGAGAAGCTGAGGCAGGGGTGTTCCCTTGAGCTTGAGGCCAGCTTGAATAACAAGAGTCAGACTCAGTTTCCAAAAGCACAATCAAACAAAACCAAGGCTCGGTGTTGATGTCTGTGTTTATAAAGTTCTTTGTAGCTAGCCTCTACCATTTTTCAAGATTTTAAAAATTTAAAAAAAATTTTACTTTATTTGTATGGGTGCTTGCTTTTGCATGTATGTCTGGTGCCTGAGGGAGGCTGGAAGATGGCGTCCGATCCCCTGGAGCTAGAGTTACAGATGGTTATTGGCTGCCATGTGGGTGATGGGATTCAAACCCAGGTCCTCTGCAAAAGCAGCCAGTGCTTGTAACCACTGAGCCATTTCTGCAGACTTCTCTTTCTCTTTAAAAAGAAATTCTGGGGTAGATTTGTAAGTACTGCTGAGTTGCATATACATAAAATATTATTGATAGCATACATTGGAAAGTCATAAAAAGAACACCAGCCATGGGGAATCTATTTCAAAATGTATTTTGAATAATCCGTCATGTTTCTTAGATTGCCTGTTGGTCTAGAGAAAAAAAATCATAATTGTGAGATGTAGGGAAATATGATGATTTGTTGTAATTTATTTAAGTAGGTTTATAGCTCTTCAAACTGCATGATCTGGGACTATTTTGGTCACTCGGGAGAGGATAATTAAATTATACTACTGTCTTTTTGAAAAATATATAACCATCACTTACAATAATGCTGTTTTAAATTGAAAATGATTGCAAATACATGTAGATTATTGTTACAGGAATTATATTTTAAAACACAGGAAAACTTCAAGAAGATGGCTCCTAAAATAATAACGCTGTCCTACTGTCCTAAAATTCGGCATGGGATCCCTTCATGTGGTCATTTGGATCGCTGAAGACGTCAACCCGCTTTTCATTTTGGTTTTTCAAGACAGGGTTTCTCTGTGTAGCTTTGCACCTTTCCTGGAACTCACTTGGTAGCCCAGGCTGGCCTCGAACTCACAGAGATCCGCCTGGCTCTGCCTCCCGAGTGCTGGGATTAAAGGCGTGTGCCGCCGCCGCCAGCATTTCAACCCACTTTTGACACAGCTGTTTTACATATTTCCTCTGTGGCTGTGTTTTGTGTCGTGCTCTGTTGGTTCTTTTTGTGTCTTTGTGTGTGGCCAGGTAGCCCTGGCTCCTCTGGATGTGCTTGGGAAACCAGGCTGGCTGTGAACTGGTGGCGAGCCTACGCTCATGTCCCCTGACTGTGGTGCTTTGCCCCAGCCCGTCTCTGACTGCTGTGACGCCAGCTGTGTCCTGTGCTTTGGTCCACGTATGCCCTCCGGACGCTTAGAAGTATTTTCTGAATTTGAATATTTAACAACGAAGGACAGTCAGTAATTGAAAAAAAAATGTGTTCTATAAGGTAAGGTACATAACCACAGCACAACTAATAATATAGTAAAAATGCACGATTCTAGAAACTAACGTTTTATTTGATATTAATGACTATTAAATACTAGATGTTTGGTATTTTTAATGTTGACATTTTACTTACTAGTCATTACAAGTCAATTGGAAGCTGGATTAAGTATCTGTCACTTCCACTATATTACTCTCACTTAGTCCTGACTATTGCTTTGCATGACAAAGATCATTTTCATATAGGGACCTGCAAATGGGAAAAGCATTTTACATAAAATCACTATGTATATTATTAATACCATGAGTGATTATTTTAAATTATTAAAATTGTGTAGATTTATTACTCTTTGTGTGTATGGTTGTGTGTGGGGGTGCCTGTACACCGTAGCATGTGTACAGAGGACAGAAAACAACTTACCGGGGTTCATTCTACTATGGAGGTCAGGGCTCGAACTCAGGCATTGGGATCCATCTGTGACACACCTATTTTTTTTCCTTCAACCCATACACTAAGAATCAGAACTCCCCCAAAATATTTATTTCTGTAGAGACGGTAAAAAGCATTCTGAGAAATCATTTAAAATGTGTGGGAATTTTTAGTTCTCTGACTCTCAGGAAGCTGCAGACAGCGGACCGTTGGGCCCAGTCACTGCTGTCACTTCCTAGCAGACTCTGCAAGCACTGGAGGTGAAGTGCATCTTGGGAAAAAGCTGTCAGTGTTACTGGTGGGCTCCTGGTGAGCCTTCTCAGATTCCTCTCCCATCCAGGACATCTGTCATAGCTCTTTCTCGGGAGTTAGTCACTTCAATGCCATAGCACTTGTAAGCTTTGTCTGTGGTCACCACTGACAGAGTCATTGTCTGTATGGTCATTATGGTCTGTGCCATCTTGCTTGTGTCCTGAGTGCTGGCTTGCAAAGACCAGACATCATGGCTCGGGTCCTCAAATCACACCAGCCCAGTGCTACTCTCCATAGCCAAGCAGGTTTCCACTTCAAGGTGGGATAGCTTGTTTTAAATTTTGGGTGATGGCTAAAACTTCTTTAAAGGATTCATTTTTTGTTAACTCTGTGTGTGTGTGTCTGTCTGTCTGTCTGTCTGTCTGTGGGGGGGTTATGTGCAAGTGAGTCAGGTGCTCACAGGGGCCAGAAAGAACGTTGTATCCTCTGGAGCTAGAGTTGTAGGCAGTTAGCTGTAAACTTCTCCATGGGGGTGCAGGGAACAGAACTCCAGGCCTCCATGAGAACAGTATGTGTTCTTAGCCACTAGGCCGCATTTGTAGCCACTAGTAGACATCTTTAAGGAAACCATGTTGACTGACCCAGCTGGCTAGTATTCTAAATAAATGACATGCCCTAGTACTGTATATCCATGACAGCACAATGTTAGTATTATTGTGACAAATTCAGTCCTACCTACATTTTAAAACAACACATGCCATAAGAGTCTAGAGTTTAGCATCATCTTTTTTAAAAATAAGTATCACTGGCAAATGGCTCTCATGCAGAATTTTCAAAATCATAACTGTGCTGAACAGTTTTATGTCAACTTGACACAAGCTAAAGTCATCTTAGAAGAAGGAACCTTACTTAAGAAAATGCTTCCATAAGATTGGGCTGCAGGCATATCTATGGGGAATATTCTTAAAATTATTGATGGGGGAGGGCCCAGTCCATGGTAGGTGGGGCCACCCCTGGGCTGGTGGTCCTAGGTTCTATAAGAAAGCAGGCTGAGCAAGCCATGGTGAGCAAGGCAGTGAACAGCACTCCTCATGGCTCTGCGTCAGCTCCTGCCTCCAGGTTCCTGCCCTGCGTGAGTTCCTGTCCTGACCTCCTTTAATGATGAACGGTGATGTGGAAGTGTGAGCCAAATAAACCCTTGCCTCCCCAACTTGCTTTCAGCTTGTCGTCATGGTGGTTTTTTTTTCTTTTTTCTTTGGTTTTTAGAGACAAAGTTTCTCTGTGTAACAGCCCTGGCTGTCCTGCAACTCGATTTGTAGACCAGGCTGGCCTCGAAATCACAAAGATTCACCTGTCTCTGCCTCTGAGCGTTGGGATTAAAGGTGTGTGCCACCACCACCTGGCTTCATCATGGGGTTTGATCACAGCCATAGTAACCCAAACGAAGACAAGAACCTAATTGACTATGAATGTTATTAACATATTTGTTATATTAATATAATTAATGTTACACAAGGTTGTCTTTTGGATTACTGGACATGCTGACAGCTTCATGAATGGAAGAGAAGAGACACAGAAGAGGACACAGGGTAGACACAGGTGGCTCTTGGTCAACATTAACAGCTAGATTCCCAATGCATGTCACTCACCAGGAAAGGCTGCTGAGCTGTGCAAAGAGTCAATTCTCTTTGCATTTGTGCTTATGTGCGTGCATGTGTATTCCCAATACTTGACATATTTTAGTGAACACTATACTAACACATAGTTTGACATAAAAGCTTAAAATGTGTAAATAATGCACCATGATCACTTTGCAATAAAAGCCTAGAACTGATCGCGACTTGGCTGAGATTGTGGAGTCCTTACTCTTGAATTCCATCCACATCCGGTTCTTCCAGCAGGTCAGTGATCTGGTCAACTGAGAGAAAATCCGGAGACAGAATCTTTTCATTCTCCTGAAATTCAGTATTTTTCTGTTAAAAACAAAACAAAACAGAATGAGTTATCTGCATCTTATATTTTGCATATTAACTCTAATGATACAAAACCCTTGGTCATTTTTTCTTTTCTGTTGTTATGTGGTGGTGGCTGAGAAGTCACACAGTTAGACGGTCTATCTTTGGGCATATGCAGAACCCAGGGCTGCTTTACAACTCAGCAAACCCTGACTGTCTACACAATGCCCCTCGAATGGCAGGCTCAAGAGAAGGTAAATGCAAGGAGAGACTCGCTTGCCCCATGGAGCTGAACATCGAGTCCTTAATTTACTCATCCTAAATTAAAAGTGCAGCATTAGTATAACAATCTAATACTACGTTATAAACACCGAACTGATAATGATTGTGTTAGCTTTGAAATTCTCCATTAGAAAGCAGCAGGGCTGGGGTGGGGCTCAGTGGGTGAGGTGCTTGTGTGGTAAAGGTGAGTACAACATGAGCAAACGTGGTTGAGACAGGAGCGGCGGTGGAGGTGATCAGAGCACATTGCATGCATTATGAAATTCTCAAACAACAAAAAGGAATACTTCAAAGACAAAAAGCGTATGACACATGAGCGGGAATAAATGGGGCATTCAATCTCTAAGCAAAGACAAGGACAGGGATGTGAATGGAAGGGGTCCGTGAGTGGTCTTTCAGGACCAGCCTAACCAGAGCCCTGGGTGAACAATTCCCAGCAGTGCCCAGGACGGGTGCCAGGAATGAGATGGAGTCAGGCAGGCTGTGTGCACTGCGGCATGTCGTGGGAGGTCCCCAATTTAAGAAGACAATAAATAATCTCCTGAAAGCTCACAAAGTAGAACTACTGTGTGTGGAATCACAGACATTTTAGAGCCTGGCCAGTGGAGGAAGAGCGAGCTATGGAGTTATCTGTTACCAGTACAGGTGATGGGGATGCATGAAGTTTCTGAGTAGCTAAGAGGCAGGACACATTTGTAAACTGTGGCAGACAAGGGAAAATGGGGGACATAAAGTGATGTGGAGGAAGGGACTAAAGAAAACAGACTCCTAAAACACAGTTTTGATGAAGAGTTGGGAGTCTCAGAAACAGATGATGCAGGGCCTTTTACAGTGATACACTCCCTTTTTCAACAGTAGACTTGACAGAGGAGTGTGCAGAGCAAGGTGCAAATATTTAGAAGTTAGAAACGGCAGAGTCAGGAAGGTCAAGTTTCAAGATGTTGGTTAATGGACGAGACGGTCCCAGTCCACAGTTGGAAGAGAAAGTTTGTGACTCAAGATGGAAGAGGGGATGAGACGGAGGTACCTGCAGAAACCGAAGCCTGTCGGGAGTCGGGGGCACAGGTGAATGCATTTCCATTCACCAAACTGGGATTGAGCTATTCCCATGATGAGATCTGAAAAGTAAGAGGACTACGGCCAATATCCAAGCTACATCACAATTACCATGCCCTTTCCTCCTCTCTCAAGATATCCTGGAGCCCACTATAGAGCAGAGGATGACCTTGAATCTCTGACCCTCTGTTTCTGTTGCCTGATGCTGGGATTACAAGGGTGCACCACCAATGGCTAGTTTATAGGGTGCTGATCAAGTCCAGGCCTTCCTGCCTGCTACACAGCATCTCACTCACTGAGCTACAGCACCAGCCCACTGCCTCCTAATGGCAAATGTCAAAGCTAACACACTCGCCATTGGTTCATATAACCTAACATTAGATTGGCTGGTGCTGCACTGTTAATATAGGAGTTAATATAGGATGAGTAAATTAAACTCAACTAGGTCATATGATTGATTGGATCTGATAGTTTAGCCTCTAGTATGATATACTTTGCACATGCTGACCTCTCAGATACTTCTAAACTCATTCACATGGATGAGTTTATGTAGAAGACAGTATTTTAGTCAGACACATGGTGTTATGTTTGCTTATGTGTGTTTTGACTACACACATCCTTTATTAGCACTAAATTATCTTAGGTTCTGAGACACACTCCTGTCTTCCTTTCTGTTTGGAATCTGCAAACCCTGCTGAGTCCACGTGGGTTACTAAGGGACTGCTGAGTTTCATCTTCATCCCACGATGGTATGGTTGCTCGAAGAGTGTTGAAGAGCTGAGAATTTAGGGGAATTGCTGATAAAGGTCATGGTTGGACTGCTGATTAATTTTATGACTTAGGCCAACTTGTTTGGTCTCAAATTTGGATTCAGATTTTAAAAAACCATTTTCTGTGTTTGAATACTCACAGGACTGCCACGATGAGTCAGAGCGAGAAAGAAGTACGTGAAAAGTGAGTGATACTGACATATAGATCAATTTACTTGACGAGAAAAATTCTGGATAGGAAAAAATTAGGTCACACAGAACTATGTGAAAGTGAATCCAATAATATCAATGCTTTGACAGTCAGAGCTCTAGCAATGATGCCCAATATCAGTGCCATCGTTTTGAGTAAAATTTGGGGGTTTAAGATAGTCAACACTCAGCAGAGTTTGCCTCTTTTATTGGTATTAGTGTTAGGAATAGCAGCATTAAAAAATACTTATTTCTGCACCTATTTTAAATGAAGCCTCTTTTTTTTCCTCTGTGCTGCCTTGCACTAGAAAGAGTATTAGGTGAGTAAAAATCTTTTGGTCTTTCAGTGCATACATTCTGATCTCTACAGCCTACAGATCCAACGGCCACTCATCAACAGGCTAAAATTGCTCACTTGTTTCTGTGGCTTTCTGTGTCGTCCTGTCTCCAGCTTGGCAGCTCCACAATGCTACGCTGCGCTGTGAGCTCACTCTATCCCACCTCCTGCTGGATTTTAGTGTCTATTCCACAAACAGCATTGTAAGCCTCCTACTATTTACCGGATAACCTGTTGTCTGATTTCTCTTCCCCCAATGTCATCTGAACACTCCACACTTGTAAACATGTCTTTTTCCTAGAACACGGGCTTTTAGGAACATGTCTGAACCAATCCTGGTAGTACTTCGTAAAGGAGAGCCTCTAAAAAGCTTCATTAAAGGAAAGACAACCCGTTTACTGGATTAGGAAAGAGGGCTTTCCCAGTCAGAAGAAACAGGAGCTTGTCTACAAAAGCCAGATTTTGAAAGTTTTCCCCCTCAAGCCTAAAAATAAATGAACTAAGGAGCAGTGTTGTATTAAACCATATCGGAGTCTGAGGCAAAAGGAAAATCAGGAATATTGATGCTCTCTTTATTTTAGAATCTGACCCATCCCGGCATTTCTTGCACCAGCTTTGATTTTATCAGCGTGGTCCATTGAAGCATCACCTGCGTGGATGAACAAGGTAGTGGCACATTTTAGATGCTGAGCTGGACGGGGGCCTCCCAACCCCTCATCGCGATCTTCCTACGGGGCTCAGAAACCAATTATTTTTAAAAGAAAGTAAGTAATTAAAGGAACAAAAAACAAGTGAAATAAAGAGGTAGCTATTTAAAAATATGGGTAAAAAGGCAACTCTCTGGTAAGTATGAATAAAGAATAAAGGAAGTGAATGGCTGCCACAGCAGGTGGCAGAACGTTAGAAAATACAAGGAAACGGGTGATTTCCTAGGAAAATATAAATTGTTAGAACTTAGCAGGGATAAAGGGGAAAATTGATCTGAACAAACATGTGGTATTATCCTTGAAATTCTACATATAATCAAAATCTGGGTTAAAAATTTTAGGCTATTTAGAGTTCAGGATTTTTTTTTTTTTTTTTTTTTTTTTTGGGCTGGACACTGGTGGCACACACCTTTAATCCTAGCACTTTCGTGGCAGAGGCAGGTGGATCTCTATGAGTTCTAGACCAGACTGGACTACAGAATGTGCTTCAGGACAGCCAGAGGTGCTACCCAGAGAAACCCTGTCTTGAAAAACCACCCCCCCAAAAAAAAAGAAAGAAAGAAAAAAAAAGAGTTTAGTTGTTTTTTTTTTTTTTAAAGCTGCACATCTAAAATGTACATAGAAGAACACAAAGAGAATAAGAGAATGTAGAAACCCAAATCACTAATGAACTCAGACTGTGGCCAGAGTTAAAAATAGATCTCTAAAACACGAATCCCACTGTGATTAAAGGATAATAGCTCGTCACCCAGACAGAACCATCGCTAGGAGAGGGAACTTAAGTTTATGTTGAATTCAACACGCGTTCTGTGACTGTTATGTAAATGCCGAGCAGGTACTTTCTAAACTCAGCAGCAAAACACTTGGTAAGTATAAATGGAGAAAGAAAACTGAGCTAGACTATCTCTCCAAGACTAACAGACGCCATCGTAACAAACGGTGGGGTAGTGGTCAATGGTATAGAAACAAGAGGAGATGCGGCCCCGACCAGCAACCTTACTGTAATTCAATGTTAGAGTTACTCTCCTCTATTACGGTTAGAAGATAAGAAAATGAAATATGCAGCTTATGCAGGAGACACAAAAGAACCAAAAGGCCTTTATTTGAAGATTACATCATAGTGTCCTTAAGAAGGCGGACATTGTACTAACGCTCAGCTAAGAAACCGGCTAAAACGGTTATACATCACATAAATACACAAAGCTAGTTTCTTTTCTCTATTTGAGAAACTAATTAGAAATGGAAATGTCCCAAAACTTGATTACATTATACTTTGTTCCGACTATAATAAAGGCATAAGAATCCTAACAAAATTTCTAAAACTTTGTTGGAACTTGAAGGATACGAATTGATAAATTAGAAACTCCTTCAAATTCAAGAAATGACATTCCTGTCACACAATAAATGTAATGCAGAGACAATTTCTGAACCCCAGTGAGATTTTCCTAGAACGTTGTAGGTTTTAAATTCTTAGGGGAAGATACTGACATTTGGAAGAAGTTAAGATGGTGAACGGGCCTTTCCAAACTAGATGTAAAAGCAGAATATAAAAATGGTATAACATCGATGAAAATTTGGACAGACAAAGGGCTGGGGAGACGGGTAAAGTGCCCGCCATGTAGTCACAAGGACCTGAGGTTAGGTGCCCAAAGCTCACATGAAAAGTCAGGTGGTATGCTTTAATAATCCCAGTGGCTGAGACAGACAGACAGATTCCTGGAGCTCCACAGCCAGTTAGTCTAGAGCAGCAGTTCTCAGCCGGGGGGGCGTGACCCCTTTGCCAAACCTCTATCTCCAAAATTATTTATGTTACGATTCGTAACAGTAGCAAAATTACAGTGATGAAGTAGCAACGGAAATAATTTTATGGTTGGGGGTCAGCACAGCATGAGGAACTGTATGTATTAAAAGGGTCGCAGTGTTAGGAAGGTTGAGAACCACTGGTCTTGAGGAATTGGTAAGATCCACATCCTAATAAGAGACCCTGTCTTACAAATTAACTTATGGAATGATACTGAAAATGCAGAAACTTGAAAGTTTGCTATGTAAGTTGAGTCCAAGTTTTCTAACATTTTAGAATCTGTTTACAGATTCCCACTGGACATGTTGATGGCCTCTAAGACCAGCATCTTCCCTTGTGAGATGTCTGTATTCTAGTGAATTCTCAGAGGCAACGGGTTCACAGCCCATTTGGAACACTTCAAGAATCATGTTCAGAGCTGGCCTTAGTGGTGCACGCCTTTAATCCCAGCACTCAGGAGGCAGAGCCAGGCGGATCTCTGTGAGTTTGAGGTCAGCCTCGTCTACAGAGCTAGTTCCAGGACAGGCAGGATTATTACACAGGGAAACCCAGTCTCGAAAAGTTAAAAAAAAAAAAAAAAAGGAGAATCATATTCAGCAATGGTGATTGGGACAGAAGCATTTTCATTCTCTTTAGCTCTCTAATGTGACCTAAACCATATTACTTTTAAGAATACCAATTAATCAACCTTTTCGAAGATACTAAGAAAGTCAAATTATGAACTAACTGGCCAGGAGGCTGCAGAATTTGAATTAGATATTTATTTATAAACTATTTTCACATAGGTCTATACATAGAGAATCTTTATTTTTAATTTTTGTTATTTTTTTCCCTTTTGTCCTCATACATTCATACAGATAAAGGCTGAAAGTTTAGGCTTGCATTTCAAAAGGAGGTCTTCTGTCTAATGTTACTGCAGAAATTGGACTTTATAGTTAAGACACTGGCAAGCAGAGCTCATGGGATGCCACACACAGAATCTACTTTCCAGATTCTGTGGGCCTTGCCCTCTGCTCAGAGCATCTCAGCATGGATTATAGTCTCTGGTGACCACCTCATGTGGCACACGGCAGGCTGCCTGTGGTTTTAATGTGCTATCCTAATTGCTTGAGCACCTACTATGTGACTAGGACAACAGTTTTTATTCTAGACGTTGTCCATCGCCAACACACAGGGAACCACAGGTGAGCGAAGCTTGTGCTTTATTTCTGATTATATATATATATAAAATATATTTAATAAATATTTATATTTATATATATTTATGTTTAATAAACCATATTACTTTTAAGAATACCAATTAATCAATTTTTATATATTTATATTAAATATAAACATATATTTATATATATATATATATTTCATTCTTGCATGCCTCTTGGATGACTAGATGGTCTTCTGGCTAATTCAATTTAGATACAGAGTTTACTAGAAAAGAAACCCTAACGTGGATAACTGTAAGGGGGTCAACTCTGCAAGGCATCTGACCCAAGGGTCTTTCCCTCAGCAGCCATGGGAATGGACTACAAGGCTGTCTTTTGCTGTGTTTTTCTTCTAATCTCAAAGTCCCTAGACAGCCCAGTTGGGAGGTCCTGATGGTGGACCATCTCGCTGTGGTCTTCAAGAACTCAGTTTTACAGGGGTGAAATATGGAAACTCTACCACTCTGTATATGAACTGCTATTCTTAGTCAAGGAGTACTGCTAAGTGAGCCCATGTTACAACTGGATTTCTTCAGTTACTTACTAATAAAAAGATTGAGCTAGCAAAACTTGAAACATACGTGTGTGTGTGTGTGTGTGTGTGTGTGTGTGTATATATATATATATATATATATATATAATGTGTGTGTGTACATGCACACACACACACATTCTTAAACACCAATTCATTAAACTTGAAATCACTAAATAGTCTTAGAGAAGGCATTACATCCACTGGTAAGTTAGTGTGTGGGTGCAAGGACACTATACAGTCTTAGAAGTTCTTGTATATGTTTAAACGACACAAAATTTAATATGAAAGTTTCCTGTGCTGGTTTTAAAATTATGTTAACTTTCATTAGCGATCGCAAAGGAGGAATGGTCTGGGAATTCAGTTTATCATGTTAAAATGTGCATTTAACGTATGCTAACTTTATTTCGAAAGGCTCATAGGAGAGCCTGAATGCTTAGGGGGTTCACCTGCAGTATTGGGGGCCCTGGAGGAGGGACTGGCTTGCTTGCCAGAAAGGAAGGCATGAAATTCTTGGCTTTGTGCTTCCTAACTGCTGAGACTGCAAGAGTTCTTATCTTCTGCACAAAGACTGTTGTTTAGACAAATATGGAGGCTGAACA